AGAAGTATGTAGGAAGAGAAAGGTACAATAGCAGAGTGTGCGTATTTCATGGGAATCATGAGTCCATTTGTAAACAGTGTTTTCTTGCTTCTACATATTCAAGCATGAACTAAGTTTGGTACCTGTAAGCAAAAACTATCTGTCAATTCCATGTGGCTGATTCTCAGAAATCTTTTCCAGTTCTCCTTGCTAAAATTATCCAGTGTGAACTCCTGGCCCCGCTGCAAGTTGGTCTGAGTTTTGCCTGACATCAATAAGAGCTAGTTTCACCCAGGTACATCAGAAATCTAAAAGTGGCTTCGACATAATTTCACATCACAAATTGCTGCTAAAGACAACCAATGCTAACTAGATGTGGAGTTATCCTCACCTGTATGTTAGTGCAACAATGTGTGTTAAACCAAAAGTTATGCAAGAAAATCTTATTAGAAATAGAACCCCCCCAATTACACTGCTTTAGATCAGTTATTGTTACAAGTGCTTTTTCAGACTAGCTGTGTCTTGTTTAGTACAGGCTAGTTGTAGTTAAGAGCCAATTCTAAAAAAACAGGTTTAATAAAAATATAAAAATTTGTGTTATTGCAGATGTGTCTTTGGTCATATCCAAGTTATTATTGTGAAAGCAGGGAAATTAATTTCACTGTAGCATTGGGGATGGAACAAAAGTAACGCAATCCCTGTAGATAGCGAGTGCATGTGCAAATATGTCATAAATGTTTAGTTAGTGGAAGAGAACCAACTTGCAGACACTGGTCTTCTGCAGGCCTCGAGACAGAAATAACCAGGTGAAATTTAATGGGCTGCAATCTTTAGCCTAGAACATGTAATGGCTTTAAGTTATAAGAGGCTACAAATCTCTGAGAAGTGACCTCATGTCTTTTGATTGCACTCCTCCACCCCATCCTTCAGCTTTGACCCATTTCGTCTTCATGGCTTTGTTTCCCAAATCCTTCGCTACAAGTCTTCATTTGCAGACATTCGTCTCCCCTGGGTTTATGTACACAGTGCCGAAGACAATTTTTTTCCTAGAAAATGTGGGAGTCTGAGGCGAGTAGGTAGAGCGGATAATTCAAGGTTAATGACTAATCCAGACCATAGAAAGATCAAATGATGAACTGAACCTCCAAAAGATATTTCAAGTTTGCTCCAGGGGCCTGCCAGATGAGTGTTGCCAGAGCAGATTAGAGGAAGAACTCCCAATTCCTCAGCAGAGATACTGAGAGGTCAGAGGTTGAGGAAGATTCAGAAGACAAAGATTTGAAACAGCCCTCTCAAATTGCATGTCCTGCCCATCCCAGCTTTTTGAGGCTATAGAAAAACACACCCTTCTCAGCATTTTTTAGCTAGAAAGACAGACACTGACTGGGTTAAAAAATCTGTGCTTAAAAGTTCATCACTTTCACCCTAAATTTAACCACCAGCAGGGATCACCTAGCTCTTGAATCTTCTATAGAGGTAAAACTACAAAAATTAATACCATGGATAAAGCCATCACTATGGTTGTGAGAAAGATGAGTGAGTTAGTCACGTAAATCAGTGCTTGTTGGAAAGATGAGAGTCCCTCCGGGGACTGCAGCTAGAGCACTCGCATGATCCAACAGGGGATAGGTTATAACCTGGGAGAGAAGGACCAAACTGAAAAGAACTGTGGCAATCCCAAAGATCAGTTTACAGGCTTAAAACATAACTGGAAGCCAAATGCTCTACATGATATACACAGGGCTTAACATACAACCGTTAATTGGCTTAGTTAGTAATACAGAGCTAGCTCGGTGTTTTAAGTTAGAACGCTGGAATTATTGTTTACATTATCATAAGAAAATTACTTACCTTTTTTAAAAAAAATGAAAAGTAAGTCTTGTTCTAAAACACATCCAGGTGTGTTCAAAAGGTGTAATGACAGTGCAGAGAGGAAAATCTATCTGTAGTGTAATTTAATAGTAGCCACAATGGGACATTGTACCTCACGTTTTTCTTTCCTGTGTGTATATGACTTGCAGATAGTAATTATGCTAATACTTTGCTGAACCAAATGGGAAACTGGCAGGAATTTTCATATTTAATCACTTTATCCATTAATCCTCGGTCTTTCCAATTTGGTTGTGAACGATGTTGCTGAAATATAGTTGCAGTGATTCTGTCTCTTACAGGCACTGAGATAGTGTTTTCAGCTGGCTGTGAAGGGGGCTTCAGGAGAGCTGTGGGGGAAGATCAAGGCACTGCCAGCACGGGATGTAGGACTCACAGTTACTTGTTTGCCAGATCATTTTTACGAGTCATTGAACCAAGCAGAGGCTTCACTGAGAGGATGAAGTTTTGTGGTCAAAGCGATTATCCCCTCTATTTGAAAACATCTTACTGTACTGATTATTATTATTCAAACATTTAACCTGTCACTTGTCTCTCGGGTATGAAACTAAGCCCCTTACTTCAAAATAGCCTTTGTAGCTGGCCCTACAGATGCCGTTCTGACAAAAAAACTGGAGATTGTCTGTTCACCACAGGCACAGCTTTGTATTGATTCCCTGGGTTTTGGCTCGTGCCCTGTGCAATCATTCTTCTCTTGAGGATGATAATATTTGTTTTTTCTGTGCCAGTTTTCCAGTTACACTCTGGCATATCTGTGCTAGAGCAGCACTAGCCAGAGACCACTGAACAGGGTAGAAACGAGGTGATTTCTCCCCTCCAGAAAAGCAACAACAACAATTAAAAAGGCATTTTTCTTCCTGAAAGTCATAACCATAACCTGACTTCTTCAGGCATCTTGCAGATAGTTGGCATGCCGCGTGCTGCCCATCCTAAATGCAAGCTCACAGCCAGCCTCTGCCAAGAATGTATTTTTATCTTTCTCCTTTGCTTTCAGTCCCTTTCCCTTTTTCTTTTGCCAGTAGCTGTAGATCACATCTTCACTTGGTACTTGTACTTGAGAGTACAGTACTGAAGTGAATTATTAGTTCAGTGGAGCCTGCACAGAAACCGTTCCTGGCCCTGTAATTCACGGTCAGTTCATAAAGCAAAGTCCCTCTTTCCCCCTCCATGCCCTTGTTGAGCACCTCCTTCACCCAGATAGATTGCTGCCTCTGCATTTGCTCTGACAGGGCAGAGCCCAGCTGATATCGAGGGAGCCTGGCTATTCATTTCCATGAACACTGATTTCTGCACTTCGAGGCTATTTTTGTCAGTCAGCCCTAGTATTCAGTTACCCAGCTGGCATGTTCCCATTCCATACGCAAAATACCAAGCACTCGGCCACAGAGATGCGCCAAAACTACTGTCTAGAGAAACACGCTTGGTGTCTTGCCAGCTGTTTTAGCCAACGGAAATTCACAGATGTGTCAACTGCTTTAATGCACAGAAACATTTGAGCGGGGCCCTGTTCCACAAAAGACAGGTGGCCTGCCTGCCCGATCCCATCCTGCTCAAACCAACTGGCTCCTGCCTTCACTGTCAACACAGTCATCAGCGCTGTCACACCAGGTCATCACTCAGAGCATTTGGCGGATGAATTCATGACAATTGCACCACGTGAAGATGTTTCTACAGACTGTGCAGAACTGATTTTTCCCCATTCAGGAATGGGAAGGTGGGAAACAGTTGTTTGATTCATGTAGGAGAAGGTATGCAGCAACTTCAAAAGAAACGTGGTTAATCAGTTGTCACGTATGGTGTTCTACCTGGACTGGGGAGCCTTCAGCAAAATGGAATGGTATTTCCGAGCAGACTTGTTTTTGTGGAGTCTTATTTTGAGCCACTTATCATAACAGACAACCCAGAATTGGGTGACAAGTAAAAGATTCATGGTGTAAGGATACTAATCTAAATGACAGTCCTAAACAATGGGTGAGGAGGTCAATTACCTGGTGAGAAAGGCACGATAGCCTTCCGGTGCACAACGCCTGCACAGTTCTTGTTCCAGTCTCTCCCTTCACCCAGGAAAGAGAACATGTTCCTCATTGACAGACTGCAGGAAGCGTAAAGATTGATGCTGCTTGTCTTTAGGAAAATAATCGTTCCTCCCTGCACACCTCCTGATTCAGAGTCTTGTTAGACATTTTATTCACTGCCTTGTAGGCCAGCTCTAACCACAGCGCTGCTTCCAGCACTTACTGGAGTCACTGGGAGCCTTTCAGTTGGCTTTCAGCTCACAGCAGCAGTCCTTTCCTTACTTTGGAGGAACCCAAACACCTCACAACGTTTTTCTGGGTGTTTGCCGAAGAGTCTTTAAAGACATAGCAAAGCAAACAACAAAAAAAGGCTGTGTATTTGTTCCCAGCACACTTTGATCAAAAGGGAAGGAAATAGCAATTCAAACGTGCTTACAAAGCAAATGAATCCCAAAGGCCCAGAGAAACGATGGAAAAAAGAAACTCCCCCCCACCCCATCCAAACTGGGTTATGTCCCATCCTTGTGAGCTGCGGCAGCTCTGAAACAACACTGTAGGATTCTTTCTATAGGGAAAATTTTGTCTTTTTAAATACTTCTTGAGCCGTAGCAGTTAAACGCAATTCAGATTTTACAAGAATTTTATAATTTTTAAATATTTTTTTTCTACTTTTTTATATAATTTTATACTTACCCAGTAAGTAGAGGTTCTCTGCACAGCTCCGCTGCACAGTGAAGATACGCATGCAGATGTACAGTGACTTTCCCAGGTACCTCTCAAAGGCAACAATATTTGTGGCACAGGATGGTCTGCAGATAAGCCTGTCTTTACCTGGCGGAAAAATGCAGCTGCATTGTAGAGATTGGGGGTTAAAGGGAGCTGTACAAATCTGTGTTTCTCTCTCATATGGAGACAGAAGCAGATACTCACTTGTATACCAACCCCTTCCTGCTTTACACACTTCAGCTTCCAAAGGTACCAGATCTCAGTGTGCAGCAGTACAGCACCAATGAAGAACCCACAAAATCTAAGGTTACCCATTTCTCACTGTTTTTAAGTGAAGCCTAATGTTTTATCCCACCAGTTTTTAACTTTCCTGCTCTGTCTCTTTCCCAGGTGGGTGACTGGCCATTGGAGTCCCTGCTCTGCTACCTGTGAGAAAGGTGTCCAGCACCGGGAGGTGACTTGTGTTTATCAGTTGCAAAACGGCACCTACGTTAACACGAGAGACCTCTACTGCCTTGGCAACAAACCAACAACAGTACAAAGCTGTGAAGGACGGGACTGCCTTTCTATCTGGGAAGCCTCAGAGTGGTCAAAGGTAGGAACTTGATTGGAGAAAGGAGCCAGACTGCGCACAGCTCTGGATACGCTGGCCCTAATCCAGCTAAGTGCTTAAAATTAAGCGTGTTCTCACAGTCAGCATGCTCAGCAGGACTGTCATTTGTTGAGGTGATTAGTTTGGAGCTGAGGTTTGTATTCCATACTGGCTAAGATACTGAGGCAGGTTTTAGATACCATGCTATAGTAGCCGTATCTTTCCATCTGAAAACTGACCAGCAAGGAAAAACATTTCACTGACCTAAGGCCAGAAGTGTAGTAACCCACCAGGGCTTCTGGCTCCATTTAAATGCCATATGAAACAAATACCAGATTTATCAAGGATCTGCATGTTACAGAGAATGTACAATCTTTGGGCCTTATCCAACCTTCTTTTGTGTAATTCCAGGAACCTGGAAAAGCTGGTTATACTTTGTACAAAAGATGCATCTACATATAGTTGCAGAGAGTTAAGAAATTATTATTCTCGGATACTATAAAAGCATTTAAAAATATAAGTTATGTGTGGTTTAGACTGTTAGCTTGTGTTTTGTTTAGCAGCAGGGTGGGACTGTAGAGTTCCTGACCAGGACACAGCTAGTAAAGGGCAACTTTGTCTGTAACTTGTGAGTAACAGTCCTAATCAGATGTCCAGGTTAGTTTTGATATTTGTCTGTTAGGCTCATCCAAATGATGAGAAGATCCTTTCACTCTTAATGCACTGCTTGTGGCTCTACCGGTCTCATTCCAGACGGGCTGTGTTATGGGACACAGCAGCAGTCATTTCTGTGGGAAGGATCTTTCTTTGTTATTCATCTCTATTTTGAAGCAGTGAGCTCCTGTTTACAACATTGTCAAAGAGCTTTTGCAAAATACTGTTAGAAATGCGCATAAAAGTCACAGAAGCTCAGAACACAAGGGATCTTGCACTGAAGAACAGTGTCCCTTAAGAAATAGAATGTCATTCCACCGTCCACCTTTTGAACAGGAAATCTTTGGCAAGTGAGACGACAGTTAAGTGAGAGTAGTGTTTCCTCTCAGTAGGACCCTGTGTCTGTTCACTAATGCATGACATTAATTTTCTTTCTGAGTTCTTTCATTTCAAAAGACGTGGAGAAACACACCAAAGTTTTAGTAATTTGTCTGGTAGGTCTTTCGTGTGTTATAGATGTAACCTTTCAGATGATGCCCTCTTTATTTCTTATAGCTGAACCAGCTGAACTGTTTGTAGCTGAGACTGTTCTTGTGGTGCAGTTCCTACCTGGTTTACATGGGGATTTTTTACTTGGGGTCTTCTGCTAACGATCCCAGGTATTTCTCTCTCCTTTTTATGAAATGGAGTACAAGTCAAGTTACAGAAGACTTTTTCCAGAGTGGAAATCTTCCATATTTGTGACCATATAACTAATTTGCAAATACATAATATTTTTAGACACTTTTTTTCAGTAACGGCTTTAGTTTTCCTTTGATAAATTTATTTACCTTTTATCATGTCTGTAATTGCCCACTTGTGATTTTAAATTCATTCTTGTTCTGGCACATTTCTGCTATTACGTAGCACAGCCGACTCCGGGACACATTTGATGCTCTGCCAGTGTGCAGACTTCTCATAACTAGGACTTTCTTCAGTGGTAATCGCTTTAATCCTTAACATTTTAATCTGATATTGTGGTGTAAATATCACAGTAGCAGTATCACTTTATAGATTGATTTTCTTGCGTATGTTTTTGAACTTTTTGGTTATACAACAAAAAACAGTTGACCACATTGATGTCTGGTCCTCAATCAAAAATGTGTGTTTTCAAAGCAAATTCCAATACAATGTTCATTGTGGAAAAAATAAGTTCCCCTTTTATTGCCAAACACTTGAGATTGTTTTGGACAAAGTACTGCTCAACCCATTTTTAATGACAAAAATAGAGACTGTCAGAAAAAGGTGAATGTTTCTACTGTTCGGGAAGTAGAGTAGAAAAAAATGTGGATTTCCTTCAAATAAAGGAGCTGTATGTTAACTGCAAAGTTGTGTTGCTGCTTTACAAAACCTTTGGGATTTGACTAAGTAATTTGTTAATAAAATAAGACCTAATGGTCTCAGCTGGACACTCAGGGATTGCACATGTTATTTAGTAGACTGCTCTGTTGTGGGATCTCTGTAAAATCTGTATGTTAAGAAATTTTTCGTGAAAACAGAGGACTTGAGGAAAGCAAAAAACCTCTTAAAGAGGGCAATTTATATGTGACCACCAAAGATCTGTTGGAAAACTTTTGCAAATGCTGTTTTGTCTAGGAAAGTGTATGCGGTATTAATCTGTGAGTGACTTAAAAGCTTGTGTGAAGAACAAACAGTTGGTGGTTTTCCCAGACTGGCTTGTAAAACCCACCTAGAGATTTCTCCTACTGTGAAAAATACTCCCACTTCACTTTGATTTACTTTGAGTAAATTGGACCATCTGAAAGATTTTGTATATTGTGCTTTGTAGCTTGAGATGAACGAGTGCAACCCTGGGGAGTCCACCCTGAGGACTGAGGAAAATGATATTTAATTTGGGAAGGTCTATACAACTTGGGGCAAATTCATGGCTTTTAGGTACCATTTAGGGAGCTCCAGCCTGGGATCTCTGGCAAGCCTCGTGCTTGGAGGTGTCCAGCAAAGCAGTTTCTGGAATTCTGCAAAGCCTGGAAGAATTCATCCCCATATCTAGTAGAACTATACAATTGTGCTTGTTACCACGATGTTACATCCGTAAGGAGGTCACGCCGTGAGCAGCACAGAGTAAATTAAGTGGAAGGTTTCCCAGATTTTCAAGAAGTCACTTTGCAGTGCTCTCAAGTATTTAAAGGCACGTCTGTTTGCTTACCAGCTCATAAACGCTTGTCATTCATGTCCTTAACAAGGCCAGCAGGTCAGAACTGCCTGGATTGTATTTTTAAGGTGGTTAGACAGGCATGCTGAGATTTGTCCATTTGATGTAATTTATATCAAGCTGATGCTTGTTTCCAGCGTAGACCCCCTGGATGGAGAAGCTTCTTGGAACACGTTCAAAAGACCTCACAGAATATCTCATATCTTCACTATTTATTCAGTGTCAAGTCAACTGTCTTTTCCATGCCGATCCCCTGAAGGGGAGAACTTGACATGCTAGAGGAGGTTAGTTTTTATCTCAGTTGGTACATATATCATTTTTCCACCCACCTGTCCCCAGTGGCTCTTCAAGAAAATTTCTCACTCTTAACCACCGCAGCGGCATGAAAATGAAGAGCAGAGTGACTGGCTGTGCTGTTGTGTAGTGGCATGCACTGAGATGGCTGTGACAGCATCAGTGGGTCTTTTGCTGGTTATTTAAAACAGAAATTGTGTTTCAGTTCATGCCAGTGTCCTTTTCCTGCCTAGTAAAATCAATGAAATCAAGACAAATTCTCCAGTAGAACAGAATTTACGGCCAACCATTGGCAGAGGTAACAAATGGGTGACCAGATATCCCTGCTCTTCAGAAGCCACCTCCACAGTGCCCAGGCACAAAAACATTTCTAGTCAATTTGTGCTCACTCGCATGAATGTTTGTTAGAGTGCCCAAATGCTTGAATCAAGTCTTCCTTCAGCAACTGGTTCTAGCTGCTCTGGTAGCCTACTGCTGTCTCAGAGGACTTCAGACAATCCCTGCTTATGCTTTTGGTGTTGAGAAGTCTGTCTCTCATCCCTGCTGTTGTCTGTGGCTTGCTGGCCATGGTTGGAAGCTGATCACAACACTGAATAATGCCTCCCCTGAGCTACTTTTGAAGTTCTTCAGAACTAGTGGAAGAACTCAGAACCTTCTAGTGGAAGGTGTCCCTGCCCATGGCAGGGGGGTTGGAACTAGATGATCTTTATGGTCCCTTCCAAGCCAAACCCTTCTGTGACTCTATAAACTAACACAATGATGAGGATACGGCAAAATAAAGAGTGAAGGTCATGTATGTGTTTCACATGACAACATGTGACAACTGTGACTTCGCCGTGGTGTGTACAAACTGTACAGCAGAAATGTAACAGTGGTCTCATGCTGCTGTGGTTTAAAAATGCATTCAACATCCTCATGTTACTCCCATGGTACATCAAGAGATGTGGCAGCTCTGTGTTGTAAATCTCAGCGTGTCCTTTTTCAGTATGAATGATGAGCTCTTAAACACTAGATTTAGAAGGTTTTTTCATCTGTAACACCAATTCTAGCAAAATGCCAGCTGATATTTTCCAGAGAAGGTTTCTTTTCAGAATTGCCATTTTTCATAAGTAAAATATTTCACAAGCAGATATCATGCTTTTCAAATTACTCTTTTATGTTTGAAAGGGGCTTAGATGCTTAGATTATTGGGGGAAAATCTTACAGGTTATCAGTTTCCCTCTGTATTCATAAAACCAGCTTTTCCTTTTAGCTTTGTTACCAAGATAAAAGTTATAATTTCTAGGCATCATGTAACAGAAAACAAATACCTGTTTTTTTGCAGTGCTCGGCAGACTGTGGCAGGGGCATTCAGAAAAGAACAGTGACGTGCACAAATTCTCAAGGAAAATGTGATGCAGCCACCAGACCAAGAGATGAGGAAGAGTGCGAGGATCACACAGGCTGTTACGAATGGAAAACAGGCGATTGGTCTAAGGTAACACTGAGCACTACATGGTGTTTTCTTTCAAAGTGAAAGATGTTCAGCGTGCTATGCTTCTGTGTGCTGCCTGTGCTAAGCTGCAGTTTAAGTATTTGGAAAGGAAGAGTTTAACTGGTTTTGACTGGGGTTTTTGCTGGAATTTAAACTTTTCCCTTATGCCTTGTATAACCCAAACATTGCAACAGGAGCTTGTGAATATGATCCCGAAGTTTTAGAGAAGCATATTCCAGACAGGATAGAAATGAGTATTAATTGACAGCTTAACCACCCAAAGGCAAAGCCCACACCAGATTCCCACCACAGGTTGACTCTTGGTGTCAAAAAGCTGCTTTATAAACAATGCTGAAACTGCTTTCCATATTTCAGAAAGCAAACTCTAAACAGTTCTGACCAGCAAATTTAATTCTACAGAAAAGAGTTCGTTAGCAGTATCTTCCAAGAGTGCAGGGAACTAAGGAGGTGTCCCATGCCCAGGCTGGACAAGCTAAAAAGAAAATAGCAGAAGGCTGGTTTCCTTTAGTGTAGATATATGTTAAATATTTGCACATCGAGTTAGGAACCTAGTCACTGGGAAAAAGGGAAGTCTCACAAGGGGGCTGTGGTGAGAGTTTTGTCTCCCTCAAAGCATCACTGTAGAGCTGCGAAGAGAGCTGGACCTTAGTCTTCTTGCCCCACAAATGATAAATATGAAGGTTTGGGAGAACTGTTCTTAAACTGAATACTCCTGGGGGGAAGCACAGGGAAGCCCTAGCAGACTCAGAAACAGGGTAACGGAGAGCACTCACAGCTGAGTTCTGTTCCTCTGCTTCATGCAGATCCTGCATTCAAAGTTTGACAGGACCCTATTACCGCAGATGCAGGACTAGAGCTGTGCCACTGAATTTCATGCTAGTCTGAGACCTACACAGCATAGTCCAGTCCTAGACTCATTCCAACCACCTGAAATGAAAGAAAGCCATGAATTTAAAGGCACAGCCAAAACCACCAGTCCTTCCTCAGGGCTGGATTTTCCCTTCACTCAAGCCTGTCTGAACTTAGTTTCTCCGGTGACATCAGTGGAATTAATTCTCAGATGCAGTGGATTAAACCAGAGCAGAGCCTGCTCGTATTTGCATTCTGATCTTAAAGTAACAGGTAGTTTTGCTTGGGAAGGAGGCCTGGGAGTGTGAGAAACTCAGCCTTTGCCAATGCTGTTCATAAAGCATCCTTTACATTATTGACTTCATGTTTGCGTAAAGAACTAGAATTTCCCAGGAATATTCTGTTCCAGTTTGGTTTTATCTTATCTTTGTAACTGCACTGTTCTTTAAACAGAAAGCCTACTTTGTGTTGTGGAATGTACGGCATGTGCAGAAACCACTGGGATACAGTAGTTGCATTTTGCTTTCCAAAAACCCAAACTCCGCCGAGGAAAATCCAGTGAAATAGAGGCCCGTGATGGGCAAATTGGCTTATCTGTGATTGCATTTTTTTTTTACTTTGTTATTAGGAATTACAGATATTTATAGATATACTCTGTCAGATATTTGAATTTAATGGTGTCAGTGCTGGAGAATGCATTAAGAACCTGCCACATACAAGCGGTCTGTATTTATGCTGAGCCAGGAATTTGTATCACAGAATGTTTAAAGTATTGAACATTATTTTATTCATAACCTGGCACATAGACTCCATGCAGACTGGCCAAAACAAACAGTTCCGGTGTGTTAACAGGTGAAATAACATTATTTATTTATTTGTGGAATTTTCAAACATTCTGGCATGCAAATTGACCTGCGTTCTCTTTGTAGGGAGGAATATGAAATAATTGTGGATTCACTGATTACATGGGTTGAAAGTTCAGTATTGTAAGAGTGGTTCCAATCTGAGAAAGGTGTTGGTTCACTTCCAGAAAGGCTGCAATCATACATTGGTCACAGTAAATAGTGTTGTTGATGGATTTAGTGTCTGCATATGAGTAGGACAGGATCAGTGCAAAATCACTTGTTATTTGCGATTCTTAACTCGGGAGCAGGATCCTCCCTGTGCAGAAGGGCACAAAAGCTTATGTGCTGCATATGTGGCCTGCTTCTGTCTGCAGAGAGCTTGTGCCAACTCTCTGCTTCCCAGGAATTTCACCCTGTGTGAGTCCAGCAGGATGTTCTTGGACTTAGATTTGGTTTGTAATGAGCATTTAAAATTCTAGACATATTGGTTAATTCTGACGGGACACTTAGATCACACAATTAGATTCTTATTCTCTGGGTAGAGGGGTAAACAAAAGGCACCACTGGATTCCTGCAAAAGGGTATGAGTAGGTGCAGTTCTTTGAAGAAAATTTATTATCCCAGAAACCCAGATAGCTGAAGAGTTTAGTGTGGCATTCAATTCTTTGCAAATCCTGAGCGAAGGATTTTCATCATGAGGATCTGGAAGCTTTAATGCAGGGCGTAAACTTAGGTGGAGAGCCTTTACAGCTATCAGCAACTCCTCTTTTGTGTTGTCCGGCTTTAAACAGTTCCTCCTTTAAGGAGAAACACAAAGTCTGTGGCAGTTAGATTATAGAGAACTCTTTAAAATTCATAATTCCAGGGTAAAATTCCGTTGTAAAACATTTGTTGCTGGTGCTGTAAAAATCACTGTGAGAGAGCTTTGTGCTGCCTAAGATGAAAACTTTTTCTATTAATACAAATTGATGTCAGAACAAGCAACAACTTTTTGCAATTAATGCATTGTGCATTTGCCACTTATTGTTAAGTATCATCAGGGAAGCAAGATTTAATTCACAATAGCAATTATCACAGATTAAAATAAGGGGCTTTGATGGTTTATGTGCAAACAGCTTGCATGGTGACTTGGCCTCCAATCCTTAGTTACCCAAACCAAGATCATTTGAAGATACCAGGAAGTCACCTAAGAAAGAGGCAAAACCTCATTTAAAAAGTCAAGTCCAGATATAACTTGTAAACAGAAGAGGCTGTTTGGGTGGTAATGGCAGACTGTTATTTTTATCGTAGCAGTATTTACAGAATGCAGGGACTCTGGGCGTGAGAAGACAGATCACTTCCCCAAGGAGCTCCCAGCCCTATATAAATAACTCACCTCCCACCTGACAGTGATGGACGCGGTTATCCCACATAAGATCTTAGATCCTGTTGCATTCAGAAGGTGCCAGAGTGGGCAGCAGTAAGAGCTCCAAGTCCATGTCAGACAAGTTGTGGTTTTGTGTTCTCAGACCCTGATCCACTCCTGTGTGGAAGAGGTGAGGGCTGGAGGCATGGCCATGAGGATCTTTAACCTGCACCTACCAGCCAAAAGCTTGTCCACTGGCCTTAGTAACGGCTTTGCAGCCACTGCCTGACCATGCTCTGAAGAAGAGGAATTTTTTTCCATTTTTTGTCAGGTTAATTGGTGGATGGTCCTTACTACGTATGATAGCTGTGGAAAGCATTTGGAGCCAGCTGATGAGATTTAGTAAGCAGTCTGGGCTGTGATATTTGTATATTCCCAGTGTATTTGCGGCATATTTCAAGTGCTGTATGAGGAAGTGATATACCTAGTTCACTTTGCAAACACATAGTGCCAGGTCTGTAGTTATTTTAAAGGTCTTTGCAGTTACCTTTGTTAGTCCAGTGCTTGAGATTAACACTGTGCACTGTCATTCTAAAGAGAGAGTATTGTTCTGTTACTGGTAACCATGTGTAACCTCCATTACCGCTGCTATTAGACTTGCAACTTCCCTTCACTACTGCAACTTCTCTTTTAAACCCCTTATCTCAAAGGGATATAATTATAATTTTTGACATTTAACACAAATGCAGCACTGGTATTATAAGTTACATAACTAAACAGTTCCTGGCCCGAGAGTCTTCAAACCTTGTGGAAAGAAACTTCCCTGCACTACTGCAGCTTCTCTTTTAAACCCCTTATAATAATTATAATTTTTAACATTTAACACAAATGCAGCACTGGTATTATAAGTTGCATAACTAAACAGTTCCTGGCCCGAGAGTCTTCAAACCTTGTGGAAAGAGAGATTGCAGGGCAAAAGACCCACGGAAGGTGTTAACCTGAAATCATGTTTTTATTGTTGCCTAGATTCTCCAGAATTGCAATTCATTATATCATCCTTTTTTATATATGATGCAATATACAAATGGGAATCCAAGCCATCTCCTATTCAATCCTTTCTTCCAAAAGGAAATTCCACATCCAGTTCGCATTCAGTTAAAGAAACAAACATCTCATGCACTCTTTCTGCTTTGAAATAGTTTGTCCTTGTTTGAAATCTGAGCTGTGAAATGTTCTAGCACTGGAACCATTTTTACATTTTTGTTGTAGTTGCGCTAGTCAAAAGAACAAACATGGGTTGCTCAGTTTCCCAACGCTTGCCTCAGACTCTGAGGCTGCTGAAAATATGCCTCTTGATGCTTTAGCAAAACAGTAGTTCATTCTTTCACGATGAATTGTATTTTGCTGACAAACTTCATGTCAAGAATTACATTCCTGTGAAGAATGCAGGCAGCTCATGACCAGAACACATCTTTATGTATGTGGCTCTCGGGACGCGTAGCAGGACACCCAGCCCGAGTCCATACCGTTCGCCTGCTCCAGGCTGCGCTCGAAGGGATCAGCTGCGGGACTCCCACGTTGCGTTGAAGTCTGAAAACATATATCCCAAATGACGTGGGGGTGCAGCGCTGGTCTGCTGCGGGGAGGCGCAGGATTGACGTATTGGCTAGCTACGGTGGTGACAAGGATCGATTGTGCCTGCAGGTGAGCAGCACCAGGGACTGCTCAAGGCTTGCCCCTGTGTCCTCAGCTCCCTCCCCTTCTGTTCTAGGGAGAACGTAGCCAGGAAAGCACTCAGGTGCAAAGGCAGGGGCCAAGACTGTGTTTTTCGAGTTCCTGTTCTCCAGTTGGCTTTTGGACTCTTCTAGGGTGTAACTGAAGAGGCAAGATTATATAGCAGGAGCAATTCCCCACAAGATTTTTATGGATTTTTCTTCGTTTCC